CCCCAGCACGGGGCTCCCCGGCCAGGGGCTCCCCAGCGCGGGGCTCCCCCTCGCGCCAGCCAGACCCCCGGAATTCCCCCGCCCGGAACCGAGAGCCAGGCCGCGCCGGCTGAGCCCCACAGGAGGCAAAGGGGTGCTCTGTGCCGCGGGCAGGAGCGGGGTCTGGGTGTCTGTCCACCTCCCACCACCTCCAGCAGTGTTGAAATGCAGCTCCATTCATCCACACTCCCCCTTCATCCCTCCCTCCCCCTCCCTCCACTCATCCCTCTCCCCCTCCATCCCCCCACACCTGCCCCCATCTCTGTCTCCATCCATCCACCCCCCCAGCCCCTCTCTGAAGCCCCCCCAGCTGCCATCCCCCCTGCTGCTGACCTATCGCCCCTGCTTTCCACCCCCCAACCCTCAGACAGAGGGAACAGCTCTTCCGGGACTCCGGGGTTCCCCCTTAGCTGCTTCCCCCCAGCAGGCCCCCTGCTACTCCCTGCCCCCCATCCTGGGGGCTCGGGCACGACGGCGGAGGTGGATCCAGGCCAGGGGTTGATTTGGGGATGGGGGGATCCCCAGCTGGGGAGCTGGGCCTGGGCTGCTCCCGAGCAGGGGGGGGAGTCCGGGGGGGCGTCGGGCTCTGATCGTTATTTACAATAAAGGGTTTGCCCCCAAATCCTGCTTCCAACTCTTTTATTCCCCCCTTTGGGCAGAATCCAGCAGGGGGTCAGAAGCGGTTCAGAGCAGTGGGGGGCAGGGACCCCAAAGGGGGGGTGCGAGGGGGCCCTGGGGGGAGGGGGGATCCCCAGCGGGGGGCGGGGCGGGGTCTCGCCAGCACAACGGGGTGGAGCCGAGATGGGGACCGGCCGGGGGCGGGGGCTCCTAGGACAGAGGGGGCGGGGTTTCACTGGTGGAGGGGGCGGGGCTAAGAGGGGGCGGGGCCTCCCATGAGGGGCGGGGCAAGGCTTCGGCGCCGCGGCGGCAGCCAGGTTGATTCGGCCGCCTGCGGCCCCGTCTCGCGCAGCCAGGCCCGGAAGTGACGTAGGGAGACCGGCCCGAAGGCGGGCGGAGGGCGCCGGGAAGAGCCGCCAACGGCCCGGGCCGAGGCTAGGCATGGCCGGAAGTGACGTGAGACAAAACGGGTGAGCGGCGGGGGGGCCATGAGCGTACGAGGGGGACTAGTGGGGGGCAGGAGGGGCGGGGCCAGCGCTGGAAGCGGGGCTAGAGCAGGGGCAGGGCGGAGGGGCGGGGCCGAGGGAGCTAGAGGTCGGGCGGGGCTAGACGTGGGGGTGGGGCTAGAGCAGGGGCAAGGCGGA